CGTTCACTGAATACGATCTGATCAACACTGGAAACAATGTACACAATGTGTCAGCATGACATTTTGAAACCCTGTGAGGAGCGGATAATATTCAGGAACACTTGACAGTAGCCTGTGTACATTAGGATACCCTTTTCAGGTTGCGGTTAACAACAGTGTATATATGTTCTTTCAGTACTTCATCTTCCGCATATTTTACTGATCATGCCCTAACATTCGCGGTGAATGCTTTGCCGAGACAGACTTATGTAGCCTTTGTCACAGGAGAGTGAGAACTATGCAATTAAGGTAGAGGGAAATAATGGTAGGATGCCATTAGGAATGCCGTGTTATTTCGTCATTGTGTCGATCTGTATCTGCAATTGTATCATGTCTACTCTTTATGCAGTTTGCACTCCTACCATTGATAAACTGTTATAGCTGACATCCATCACTTCTTACAGTTTTTTTGGCTTTTTGTACATGTCTCTGGATGTGTTAAGGAAGAAGTATTCAGTACATAAATCACTCATGAATGACAGTGCTTTTCTACCACGCAATAGCCAGAAATCTTCTCTTATATCCAAATGCTCAAAATGTGTCCTCAGATCAGATGGAAGTTGACATTGTGATTCTACCGTAGAAGTTCTATCGGAATGGGCTTTTATGAGGTGAGCACTGATATCAGAACTACTTTTTTTCTCGACTGTGATATGCAACACAAAATCAGTAGTTCTTCCTATGCATTCGCTCATTGAAAAGTGTTCTGAATCCCACCAATTACCGAATTAACGTATATAAACAGACATTACATGTCATCCGATTTCAAAAGTGCAGTCAGTATATCTTGATCATTCAGTGTGATCAAATGGTAGAATATATGAAACTTTCCACGCAAGCAAGTGAGCTTTAAGAGAATGAATAAATTGTCAAGATTGTTTGATACGTATTCTCTGTGTACCTAATTTCGTTTTACTGATCTGTTGGTACCGGTGTGCTCTTCCACACATGTAGTACACTCGAATTTATCGGCGTACTGTAAAGTAATTTTCGATTTCACCTTTACCACCACTTTAACTAGTTCAAGACGTTAGATTTAAGTGAAATTCTACACTCAGTTTTCAAGAGTGAACGGATGATGGAATGCGTTCAATCTGTTGAATAATAGTAATATATTCTCATTTTTGTCCACGAGGGACGCCAGTTTACAGGCATCGTAAATATCGTTAATTACAAATACACATAGGCATATTTGTTAATGACAATATAAAATACATATGTATTCCTAACTATGTAGGACACACCAATTGTACAGGCATGGATAAGTATTATTTAAATTACATAAATTTGGTTTATGCTGAAACTACATGGGCGCTATCTTTTTCGACTTTAGTTTTTGGGGACAATGTGCTAACTAGTCATTCAATGGAGCACATTAGGAAATATAGAAATACTGTCTTCGCATTAGCGAAAACTCAAGCATGTGTTGGATGGATTGCAAATACTTGGGAAAATATCTAATCATGGAGTCATTCCTCCATATAACTTTGGTGTGTACGACATCGAATGTTATTCTTGATTTATATCCAAATTGGGTATTAATTCAAAATAAGTGATGTATTTGTATAATGTTGTCAGCATTTTCATCGTGGGTAACACCAGAAGGGAATTGTACCCAACGCAGACAAATAATAGTTTATATTGTCTTATAAGGGTTGCTATCCTCATGGCCAATCTTCCCTCTTTACCGGCCTCACTATCGTCCTAGCAAGGTTCATCGACCGGAAATTGAACTCCTGACCACATGGTTGGTTTGCGGTAATTGTACTCCTGAACGACCGATGCACAGTTACATGTATAAGACCACGGATTACACCAGATAACTGTGTCACTGTCCGGATGAGACCCACACGGTCAAAACCAGTAGAAGATAGTGAAGAGATTCTAATTAGCAAGGAGGAATAAAGACAGAGGAAACGACGTTTGAACCACTTAAAAGTATTCCTGTACTAACCACCACCAACGGACAAAGTAATGCTAGTGAATAATGATCCTCAAACTAAAGCAGAGGTCTTGAATGCTGTAAGGCTACTGAAGGCCTAAGTTCCTCTTGCAAGGCTGAAAAAGAATCAAGAGGTCTCAGAAGTTTGCCTCACGTTACTATTACAGACCATATGGAAAGGGAGGAACGACACCCACCCACTGAAATGGTGGCCTGTCTGTCGAACAACCAACGAAGGGTTGCTTAATTCTTTGCAAAAGGCATATGGCAAGGCTAAACCTCAAGAGATTCAATGCTGAAAGCTTGTAGAAGCTCTTGAAGTGGAGTTGGGAGTAAGACAAAGCTTCCTACTGCCACCGATGATAACCCTAACGCCTAAAGACGCCTAATTATCTGTAATCTTGAACACAGTAGAGTAATTCAAGGACTATATAGCTGCTAACTCTGGAATTCTTACGGAAATGAATGCAGATGTTTTCCGCCTGAGTTTACAGCTTGTCTCCAGCTGATTCTTATCTACTAGCAAACGTGTTGTGGATGAACCGGAGGGCGTTGGTGAGCACAGATAAGTAACACTAAGGATATTCAGGAAAAAGAGTCTGGTTCGTGCTATATTACTCAGATTTCACTTGAAACCTTGGTTCAACCTAAGATACAGTGAAGGTACATTAGCAGCCGAACAACATATTATTGCCACCAGATAAAGTGTTTACTTTATCAGATACTCACAGACCCCAAAAAAACTAAGAACGAAAAGTCGATGAATAACCCATCTCGTCTTCTTTATAAAGCTATAATAAAGTGCTCGGCTTACGACAGCACTGTCAATTCATATTCAAGTAATTCAGGAATCATAACCCCATATGAAGTAAAATGAGCAGAGAGGCTAAAACCGGTGCTTCTCTGTGATTATCTCAGATAATATCTAAAGAGGGCTACCGTTCAAACAAAGGACCTCACACGTCTAAAGAATGTAATTGGTGATTCATCTAGTTGATAAAATAAATTGAACAGCATGTCATGGAGCTGACATATGGTCAGAATTCATCAACAGCTAGTGTGAAACTTGGCATCTAGGTAAAAGGACTGTTATGTGGTCCTTCGAATTTGGAGAATTTAGTTTGTATCACATCCAAAACTGCCTAAACCTTAGAGAAGGATACAGAGTTGTTTCTACCATTAACTGTAATCATCCACAATTAATTATCATTTGTATACCTCTAATGATTTGGACACAGTAAAACATTTATTATGCTAGAGATTTACTTGTCGATGTCACTGAGTTTTATCCAGCTGCATCACTTATTCAGTATGAGTATACATGGCGATTCCTTGGCGAATGCCTTAGCAATATTGCAGTTGAGCTGCATATAAGCTGAAACTGGACATATCCGGACAGTGAATGAGCCGCAGTGCCCATTTAATGCATGTACACATATTGCTTCTTGCTACATGTCCCACATGGTTACTAGAGGTAAAATCGGATTTTCTGATATGGAAACTTAATGCTTCTGAATCAGCATAACATGCAGACAGTTTCTAAAGTACATGTGAAGTCATCCCGTCATTTATCAACAAGTTCGATCACATAAACCTGTTAACTACTCTAGACACATGCATGAGTCTTTTGTTTGTAAGTAATGTCTATATATTGTAGCATCGTTACACCTGTAGACGTGGAGAGAATATTCTAATTATTGTTTGTGATTTTTGAATATGTTTACAAGTCTTGTAATAAGTTACCAAAGGGATGGTGCTTGTAATCCGTAAAGATAGAAATCACATTTGCGCAGTCTAGCGGTTCTGGAGTCATGAGTTTATTATTAGTGATGACATGCTACACTAGGATACAATATTAGTGACTGATAATATATGGAGTACAGTTCTCGAGATGTAATCATAGGGGGATTTATGTTTCTAACTGTGATTCATACTTCATACGCTTTCTCCCGTTTTCATTTTCTGTTCAGTTTTGGTTATTCAATACTTGAAAAGAAATTAAATGAGATATGCCAGTGTGAAATCACTCAATGAGATTGTTAAAATTTAATGAATAGACACTCACCTGAGACTCCAGTATTTGAGACTACTTCGGATTGCAGATATTTTGATTGGTTCACTCAAATCACCTCCATGAACGACAAAATCTCTTTACAAAACATGCAACAAGATCGCATGCAGACACACTCACGAGCAGAAACACAAAAACACGTAAGAGGACAAAGGATATAAATTTATGTTATATAAACAATCTTCACACTAAGCTCACAGAAACTCAAAATCATGACAATGACCTATTTGATTAGCTCCATATTTCTCATAATTTCCTATTACGCAGTCAATTGTTTAGTGCCAAGACCACTGAAGCAAGAGATGGGTGAATCGTTGTGTAGTGTGGCCAACCTACTTTCAATTGAACACGATTATCCATCATGTTACATACTCACCGAAGCATTGAAAGTATTCGACAAACGTGTTCTGCAAATATATCGTTCAACACAGTCAAATGACGATGGGACAGTATCTTGCAGCATCAAGAAACTAAGTGTTGTCATCACAAGTGGCTGTGATGAATCACAGAATCAACTTTGGCCCAGTGAACACATGGATGAATCACGTAGGTTTAATTCTCCTCTTCATAATATGCATACATAATTAACTAAATAACCACTGAAGACAAAATCAGCATACTGGATGGGAGGATTGATATTGAATCTAATGAAGTATGGGGAGTATTGCACGCCTTGCATACTATCATACAACTGGTGCGCAGAAGTGAATGGGGAGCTGTGAGTCAATTGCGATAATAATAATAACCCATTATGTTTCTCTGCATCTCAATAATTAATTCATTTAGCTTGTATTACGCGAACAAACTATTGAGGATTCACCACAATATGGTCACAGAGGATTTCTGCTGGACACTGCCAACCACTACATCAGTGTTGATGAGATGGAGAAATTCATTGTAAGTCAATCCAACCCATTATTCTCTTACTTCTACTTCACAATCATTCAGGATGTTATGGCCGTTGTTAAAATGAATGTACTTCACTGGCATATGACAGATAACACTGCATTCCCCTATGACTCATTCACATATCCTGAACTCTCTAGAAAGGTATTTTGTTTTTCACACTTTCGCTCATCATTTTTGTCTGTGCCTACCTGTCACATCACAGGGTGCATATGATCCACAAAAGTTAGTTTATGTAAATGGGGATGTTCGACGGTTGTTGCAGTTTGCACGTCAGCGTGGGATACGTGTGATCGTGGAATTCGATACTCCTGGTAAGTGATTGAGGAGCTTCACATTCTGCGTTGTATTTGTTGGTGAATTAACACTGTGCATGTTTCAATTGGAAAATTGCAGTTCACTGAATATATACATTAGATCATATGACGCCTTTGAAAAGGCGGTTGCAGCAAAGATAATTTTCTTTTTGATGAACTCATCAAATAGGTTGTACACACGTGCATTTATAGTTATTCGATGAGCAAGCTCCAGAACTCTTTCCGATCAAGGTTCAAATTAGCAAGATGAAGATGTAATAATAATAGCAAACTAAACAGGAACATTGAATAAAATATATAGTAGAGCAAGTAGGGGAGAAAATAGGGTAAAACTAACAGAGATTAACAGGAAGTTAGGATTATTAGTACTAAGAGGACTGAACATCTATGATGGCCATACAGATACAAGGGTTGGACATATTCATTTTGAATACATAGTGTCATCTATGCCCGGATGCCTTTAACTCGCTATATTGGAGGACTCTGGACGGACCTTGTGTACTGCTCTGAAGTCCTTTTATTTTGCTACAAAAAGCAGTGATGCGGTTTTAGTGGATGCGTCTTATGGTCAAATGTTAGCCTCACATTAGGTGTTCCGTGTTATTCGTGGTCTCTTGGTCTTTTGGTGACTCATTTTGAATTGGTAAATACTTCATTAATTTGAACAAGTAGGTTCAGTGTTCACTGTGTGAATTTCGTCTCCATATGACTTTCAGCATATTCATTTTTCGAACATAACAGTTTAGTATTACTGTCTGGCTGATCTTCAGGCCTCCGTAAAAACATATAATTTCGTTTGAACCAAATGTTCACTTGTGAAGTAAAATCGATTCTATCCCTTTGTTGCTGATTTCAGGTCACACAAAGTCATGGGAAAAAGGTTATCCAGGAATACGGACAGAATGTTATAAGGACGGTGAGCCGACTGGGGAAACAGGTTCATTCAATCCTGCAAATGAAACCACATTTGAATTTCTGAAAGCGTTTTTCAAGGAAGTCACGTCAGTATTTCCGGAAACGCTTGTCCATTTAGGTGGGAACGACGTATGGCCTTCTTGCTGGTAAGATTTATGCTTATCTGTTCTTAAATGAATGTCAATTGTAACATGAGTTCATCGATAAGCTTCGAAGAAATCTTTAATACATTCATGACTTTCCTGTGTGTTTGTTGTCCATTGGTTGACTGAGTCGATAGTCTGAGAATCTGCATAGGCAGCAGCCATGTCTTGGAATTTCAATGGTTTATCCATATATAATGAATGAGTGAAATGGAAAACTCCTGATGTCACTCCTCGGAGCTGGATTATGACTGAAAACTATTACTGCTGCTCATTGTGTATTTAAAACACATCCCAATCTCTTATTTGGTCCACTGTGTATGAGGTGTCAGATATTGATTGAAATTATATGTTTCTGCAAAATCTTACACGTTGATTGTATTAAAATGGACTGTAATGCTCGGGCGCACTCTGCCACATTCCAAACACACTAACAGTCCAATGCTTCTTGAAAAGTCGAATCCTAGAGATGAAAATATGATCAGTAGTATCAGCGATCCAAATATCACAAATCATGTGTAGACCACATTTTCAATGTTTCTCATAGAAAAGAACTCTTCTAAATAATTCATGAAAAATCTCTGAAGCAAAGACAATGAACATACAATTTTAGTTGAATGAAGGCAATGTTTGAATATCTGCAATTCGACGAAGGCCTACTAGTTGAAGTGCTGTGAAACCGTGGCTGACTCATATTCTGCATACGCCTGGTGGCGTCATTACTTGCAAGTGACTGGTTGTTCATGCTTCAGTCCACACTTAGTGGTGCACGGTTTTCTTTGTAAGTGTTTTTCCACATTGTCTGTAACCTGGCTCTATAACTCACAATTCTGATTTTCTGATGTTCATTTATGCTGCATCCTGTCAACAACAACAAGCATATCCAAAGTACTTTGTTGGTCTTCACTCCATCAAAAGTTAGTGAGAATTGTCGTACAATCATTTCATAACTCGAATCTTTTATGATATCCTTCAAGTTAACTGCTATTGCTCACGTCTGATAGCTTACAGGAGAGGAAAATCACACAGAAAAGACCAGTGAACGAGTCACTGTTATAATTTGTAACTGAAATCTCCGGTGTTGTTATATGACATAAGAAACAATATGCAACAATAGGGCCAAATAAGCAATCTAGAACGAAGTATTTTCACACACGATAAAATCTTTGAAACTGTTTTTCCACAAAATAGGAACTCGAATCCTGATGTTTTGAAGTTTATGGAGGAAAACAATTTCGGCGGTGATTTTGCAAAGCTTGAATCATATTACTTTGATAAACTCATTGAAGTCGTTCAATCAGTTCAACCAGAGGGACATTCTATTACACCAGTTTTCTGGGACGGAGTGTACATCGATGGGTGCCGTGTAAGTGAATCCCTTCTCCTTTCCAGTAATATCTCGACATGATTTTTCACGTACAGTTTAACACTCCTGGTGAGTAACTAGTCCCTAAACAATGTTCTCCACATGGTTTGCGTACCTTATTATGCGAATACCTTCAGTTGTGTAGTGTTTCATAAATTTCAGCTGACTGCTTCATGTTGGTGTGTTTATGTCACTCATCTCTACGTAGTATCTTATCATTTGTTTCACATTAAGTCTCCCACTTTAAGGTAACTGCTGACACAACTGACGATCAACCATCACTGGTCTCTTGATCCGCGATGATCGCGATCAAACATTTGGTCAGAGGTGTAGCACAGGTTCATCGATCTTCCAATTCTTAGGTAACAATCGTTCATTTGAGCTCCATTGCATTTCAAGCTTCTGAGACTTCCCTGTAGGTGAAGAGTAATCGTAAGAATATTCAGAGAAAAATATTCAAGTGAGAGTGCGATTTTGAGTGGAAACGATGCTCTTCACTTGCTTAATGACAATAGAATCTCTATTCTGGACAGCATTTACAAAATGTACAGAATCTTCAGAGGAGGTTATTTCATGATATTTTCCCTTCCTACAGTATCTTCAAGTAAAATATTAACTGATGGTGTATCCTGTGACACAATGGTCTCTGAGCTGAAGCACGAACCGTTACGTTTTGATAAAGCTGCCTTGTCTCCTTCAAAAATCCACGATATCTGGCTGTAAGCCAATTGTAGGATGTTCAGAAGTACATTTTGAAACTCAAGGACTTAATTTAGGAATAGTCATTTCATACTATTTTAATTTGGAACTTTTGATAATAGCTTGATTCCACACTGTTTGGTACAAGCATTGAATTTTCAACATGTGATATCGGTGTGCGTCGGCTGAGGATCGAACCGCAGACCAAGTAAACGGTCGGCGAGTGTTCTTACCGCTATGCTACCGACGCACACACTGCCACCAGAAATCACGTCATTCCTCGAGTTTAGTAGGAACTTGTAAATCAGAAGCTTGTAAACATTTTAAATACACGCCAGAGAAAGTAATACCGATAGAGGTCACATCTTCACCGATTAAAACAAACCAAACGACAGTTAATATATGCAGTAGATGGAAGTTTCTGGTAGCCCAAGTTTTAAGCAGGCCTTCGGTTGAATGCCTATTTGATTACCTTTATTAATAAGTTTGAAGAGGAGTATTTTCTCCGATTTCGGACTTTTCATTTCAACTTTCTCATATCACAGTGATAAATAAACTCTCAAATTACCAGGATGGAAATAGTAGAAACTTACAAACCATCGTTATATTAACATCAGACAAAATGAGACTCATAGGCAGGGAAAAAGCGAAGACAAATAGACCCCCATACAGAGATCAACGAAGTGTCACTAAGCTTGTGTTGGGTCTGTAACGCTGAGTTTCCCAACCAAATAATAGTGCCATCACATCAGTTCTTAAGCAGGGAAGAGGTTTTTATCTCTTCTCTCTTTTGTATAAATTTGGAACGGAGCACCAAAATCCGTTGTTCAGGCCGGTTTAATGCCTTGTATCAAATATTCACGTCACAATTTATGCGTCAACTAATCACTGTACTCAATTTTGTGATTTAGCCTTCTAAAACCACTGTGATTCAAGTATGGAAGGGAGGAGCTTGGATAGATATTCTCAAAGATATAACATCATCTGGTTATCGAGTTATAATGTCGTCTTGCTGGTTATTCACTGGTATAAACAGTCCTGGAAACTGGGCGGACTACTACGAATGTGATCCAACGGCGTTTGGCGGTATGTACAAGAGATAAATGTTAATTATTACAACTCAGAGAGATGAAACGCGTTCTCATTTTGAATGGTTGCTGTAGCTTCACACTCCATTTAAGTATTGCTTGGCCAGCTGTATGCGTGTTTGGGCGTTCACTTCTTGACCGACTGACTCCTTAACCTCGCTTCACCGGTAGTAAGTTCAGTCAAGCGAGATGGCTGGGTATAAGGAGTAGCAACCCCATCCCTTAAGAGGATAAACACCGTTACCAATTTGACTTCCGGAATCCATCATGAAGCCCTGGTTCTACTGAGAATGCAAAGGAATAAAATAAACGAAAATGCACACTTCTGACTACTTAACACTGTCATAATCCCCTATGAGAGCAGACTGCATCTAACTTTTCTCAGTCTGATGTTTACTCATATTTTGTATCCATAAGGAAAGCGAAACCGTTCATTGCTACTAGTAACCACTCTTTGATTTTCAGCTGAATAAAAAGCATCAGAGGTACTCCACCGCTGCACCAATACTCCCTGCAACCACTTTTCACGCCTCTTCCATTCTTCAAAGACTTATGTTTACTACCCACATGATGTTCTCCATCTTACTTAAGGAAACTCAACTCATTTCTGAGGACTGATGCTACTTGAACATCTCATTAGTGCATGTTCGATCAATGTACATTCCATTCTACATATTTTTCAGGTATTAGGATTATGGTTGATTATTTACACCGTGACTCCCTTCTTAACTTTCTAAAATGGTGGAGTGAGCTTCTCCTCTGAGGGCACTCGGTCAGTTTTCAGAGCTTCTGAATTGGTTCCACCTAGCTTCTGAATTAGCTCCGCTTAGTCTTAGTCTGGAGATACGAAGATTGAAATCTTGAGAGAGTAAACATCAACCCTCTTCGTGGCCCATTTCGCAACTGATAATGCATTTTAATAGTGAAAACAAGTCAACACCTTTAAAGTAAATATATTTGCAATTATACTAGATAAGACCGCGCTTACGAAACCATTACTTTAATCACGTGAGTGCTTACATCCTCATATGATATGCATCATTATCATTAATTCGTTAAGATTCTCTATCAATACACTAATAGCTGCCAACGTGTGTACAATTGTCACTTTCCTCTGCCTACTGCAGTTGTTACAAGTACATTTGCATTATCTACTAGCAGTGTTGCGATTACTCATCACTGATAATGTAACATTAAATTGTGCAATGTTTAGTATTATGCTCATCAAGTAATTCTTCCTGTTTTTGGAAACTATCAAAGCCACTGAGGAAGAACGAAATCTGATTATTGGTGGAGAAGCCGTTGTATACACAGAACATGTGGATGAGTCAAATCTCATTATGCATTCATGGTAAGTTGTGATGTCTACTTTATTAGAAACGTTGAAAATGATTCATTCACAGATAACTTTCATGATGAATGAAGATGTACTCTCATTAGTGCGAAGACGTGCTCGTGCATAAATGAAGCTGAAATTATCTTGGAATAGAGTGGGAATGATTTCATGGAATGTGAATATAAATATTATGAGGAGTGGTGTACGGACGAAGTGCACAGATCCATGCAAAGGTTCATTTGACTGCCTGAAATATTTTGGAATTTAGTTAGATCCGATTTACTCGTCACACTTGAGATCATAGTGAAGAAAACGGTCATAAGTGAGTCAGTTATGTGGAAGTGTCGTATCCGCATAACGATTCTAACTGGCATCGCGAATCTTTCCGTCCACTCAGTCAGCGCAAATCTCCTTGTTGACAACCACACTATGGTTAAATATTTTGTAGCATCCGTTTATTAAAAGCGGCAGTGTGGTCAACGAGAAAAGTAATAATGAGCTATCGGTAAACATGAATCTTTCATTCTCACTGCTTCATTAATCCTAATTCATCATCGCCAAAACGGTGACAGAATTCAACACACACATTTTTCATACACACTGGCCGTATAATTACAAGGAATTCAGTCGCCTTGAGGGAGATGGTCAGAAAGTTCATACTGTTGATTGTTTTAAATATATATTCTTCTCACTTTATTTATATACTTTAAAAGGCCTGATGGTGCTGCAGTAGCCGAACGCCTTTGGTCACGAGATCCATTCGATACCGACGAATTCAAAATAAGAATAAATGAACTACGTTGTCATTTGAGACAGTAAGTTCACACGTTGCTGTGTTAGTAACGATATTCTGAAATACATATTTTTTATTATAACTTGAAGCCACACAGTATTTTTGGTACGAGTATGGAATTTTCAGCATATGATATCGGTAGCCCAAATTTCGCAGGCCGACCACAGATATCAGGTGTGCGTCGGAAGGGGGTCAAACTCCGGACCATGTGCATGGTCGGCGAGAGTCCCAACCGCTGTGCCACCGACGCTATTCATTTTGAAAGCTTGGTACCATTAGTGTTGTTATGGTGATTGTTAACTCTGTTGCAATTCCTCATACAGTTTCACTGCCACACTGAAAACTGGCAGACTAGAGGGAAAAATGTCAAGTTTGGTTTTAACATCACCAGATGTAGGAGGCAACTTCTCTAGACGTGATGGCTTCACCTGAGATTTCGTTTTCGTAAAGCAACGGTGATTCAAACACGTACTGCTGATAATATATGTGAACGTTGAAAATTAACCCAATCATTCATCTTATCTTGGATTCATATGGTGCATTTGGTCAGATACTTCAGACAGCAATCTGAAAGGAAGTTACGCTGAATGAATAAAGCTGTAACGCCTCTATTTGCAAAGTTGTTTGTGATAAATTTACTTCAAATAGAAGTCGAATATGGGGGTTACGGAAATATTCGAAACATCCTACTCAAGATGTCTACTTAATTCTGTCATTCTGAAGCGATCAGATGTGACAAACAGAAAAATGTGACCCTGTTTAATAGATTTACACGAGTATGACATGCCCACAGAACACATGATTGTTAGCAGTTTCCCTGAAGCTAGGGTGTTTATGTCTACTGCTTGATTGGGATGGTAACAGCGGATGTACGAATGGTAGAACGCGGAAATGTATAACCCCCTTGAGCCTAATTTCTTATGTTCATTTACCTGATTAGCAACTGAACGCCCGAGGTTCGACATCCACTTACATGTTTCTGTCCATATCAGTCTTACTTCAACCATGATTTGTTAGATGTATATTTAACCTCGTATGGCTTTCTGTCGCTTACCTTGTCCTACACAGGTAGGAAAAAATGTATTTTATTAAATTACTATTATTAAATATGTTTACTAATCGTATATGTAATTTATCATATTGATGATGCCTGTAAACTGGCGTCCCTCATGTACAAAATGAGAATATACTATTATTTATTTATTTAGTTAGTAACTTTCCCTTTCACGGTCATATGATTAGCTCTTATAATGACACATTTAACAATAATATCATTGGAATTTGGGGAGTAGTCTTACCGCCTATGGTTGGATTCGAAGTAAAATAACAAAATAACAAAGACGTTGAAGCTTGTTCCTCACCAATTCATAACTAACTTTCCTCTCTTTTGAATACAGCTTAGGATTCAATGCAAAACCTCTAAATGGACTGAATAGTTGTTTACGACCGTAAGAATGCACTTGCAATATCTGGACGTCTGGGGAAAACTCATCATTTGTAACTCAGCATTGATGGAATAAAATGCATTTTCAAATTGTCTTTCTTTAATGTACAACTTGACGAAGTGTTTAAATAATAATAATTTACTTTATTCCAAAAACAGTACTTATAATACAGAATGGAATTCTCAGCATTTGTCACAATACTGCATCCGATTTACTCAAAGTGTATATAATTAAAATTAAAAATTAAATCAAAAATTAATCGGAGGAATTTGTCCACATTTACGACATAATTATTAGATATAATAATAAGTACTAATAACAGTGAGTTTGTTTCAAACGGTATTGTCGATTCAGTTCGGAAACTTTAGCATGTTATGGATGATTGGGTCTAATGTTCTGTTGATATGGTATAGTGAGGTGAAATACAAAGTTAACAGTCATAATACAGCTTAAAATTATGTCCACACTTACGAAAAATTGAGAGGATTATAAATATAAGACATTCAATAACAATAAAGTATGATGCTTTAAGGTTGAAGGAAATGGTCTATTTAGTGGTGCTAAGAAGGTTAGTTAGTTCATTTCCGACACTATTTTCGTCACATAAGTACGTGCTAAATATGGCATAGTGGAATTTTTATACTTAGACGTACGCGCATAAAGTCTTCTGAAAAGACTTGTTGTTTTACCTGAGGAGACACAAGGTTGGAGCTGCTGGTAGAGTGGGTACTCAGAGTCTGACAAAATTCCTCTAGCGAATCTGTTGCATGACATCAAATGCCTGTCGGTGACAATGCCAACGATATGGCCTAATGGGATACCACTCGTCCTACTGACAGTCTTCAGAGTTCTACGAAGTATGACATAGTCCTTTTTTAGCAATCCAGGAAAGAATAAGGGTGAACAGTAAAGAAGAATAGGTAAAATACATGAGTTGATAAACTGTAAGAGGAGTGGTTGGGTTATGCCTGAGTGCCTCAACTTCTTAATGTAAAAAGTCAAACGAAATATTCTCTTAGAAATCGCTACGACATGAGAAGAACAAGATAGGTCAGAAGAGAGAACTAATCCAAGATACTTAACTTCAGACTTGCTTTCTATATCAGTATCATCGATTTCGCAAGGATCATAGGAACCAACGGCTTCATTTAACTTTCGTTTACATCGGAAACTGAAATTAACAGTCTGACATTTGGAAGGATTAAGTTTAAGGCCGTTAGACGAAGACCATTTGCTAATTTCTGATAGAAAGTTGTTCATCTTAATACAGTCAAGTTGAGAGTTAACAGACATTGAAATAGTTAGATCATCGGCATACTTAACAAAGTTCATTTCATCGGAGTGAGGCAAGTCATGCAAGAAGAAAGAAAACAGAAAAGGAGAAAGGACAGTGCCTTGAGGGACACCAGCCTCAGTAAGCAATGAAGTGGACGACTGAGTCGAAAGCAGATGTATGATATAGGAAGGTGCAGCGAACAAATTTAGCCCTCTTGTCTAAGCTGGAGACAATGTTATGATACAAGACTGCAGCTGCATCTAAAGTACTTCTACTGTGTTTGTAGGCGAAGTGTTTGGGATCTTTAAAGACTTTAAGTGAAGGTTGAAGATTAAGTGAGAGCAACTTTCCATAGCTTTTAGAAAAGGGGAAGTAATAGCAATGGGTCTGAACTTAAAACATGTTGCAGTAGACGACTTAAGTATAGGTGCAATTTTAATGTCCTTCCAAACGGCTGGCACGACAATTTTGGAAAAAGACTCGTTAAATATGTCCATGAGAGGATAACACAGGATATCTGCACACTTTTAAAGGATAACACTTGGCAAACCATCTAGATTCAGGCCACAATAAGGGTTCAGAGACTGGAGACATTTTAGAACATCATTTGTAATAAAACCAGGGAAGCAGGTTTCATTAACACTTGTAACACTAGAAAGTTTGGCATTCGTGGGAGAATGTATGAAGGACTTGTTTAGTTTGGAAACATCAAGGGAATTAGGAATAATGTTCATCTGCTTACCACCAGTAATTTCTTTGAAAAGTTTCCATATGTTAGACACATTTTTACAGCATATGAACTTTTGGTTGTAAACTGAATTCAATCTGTGCATTTCGGACTTTATTAGGATGTTAGTTCTTTTCAAACCAGCATTATCCTTCATTTTATATAATTTTTCTTTCTGTCTGCCAAGCTTTTTAAGTTGAGGAGAGGAGAAACGGTCAAATCTGATGAAGAGCGTTTCTCTGGGACAACAGGTTCTAAGACAAAATTTGAGACAACTTGTAATATTAGAGATCGTGTCATCAAGAGAGTCTACATCAAGCAGGTCCCACTTTGTGTCTTTGAGCATGCTTCTGAGGTTCTGAACATTCTCCATTGAGTAAAATCCATGTACAGTTTTCTTGGAAAGGTGTGAAAAAGTTCTCTTATGTAATTTTCCATAAATTTTAGGTAAAACCCGTACAATACAATGATCTGAGTTAAACAGTGGAGCTCTTTTACGAGCTTCGTATATTCCGGAGTCATTGATAAATACAGGATCAAGGGAATTATCCAGTCTGGTGGGAAAGTTAACAACATTTTCATGACCTATCACTGTGAGAAAGCTGCAGTCACATGAGTTAAAATCACCTGTCACTATGGACAGGGAGTTACCAAAAGAGGCGGCAGCGAGAGTAGTGAATTCATCAGCAAGCATAGATAATTCTGAAATGCTACAACAAGGTGTGATATAAATATTGGTGATATAAATGAATTTGTATTTAGATAGGTGTTTAGGTCGACATTTGACGGTTATACAGTCAATATTATCATTTGAGAATTTGAAACAGACGTTGTTGGCAACAGATTACTGAGAATTGAAAAGAGTAGCAACACCGCCGCCTCGCTTCTTCCTTGAACTACTTTGGTCTTGTCTGTACATATTGAAACCATTTAGTAAGATTAAATTATCATCATATGAGTCGTGTAGCCAAGTTTCCTGAAGCGTTATTACACCTGCATTACGATAAATATTTGAATATAATAGAGAATCCAAGTGATTAATCTTGTTCGATAATGACCTGCAATTAGTGCTCATAATCACAGGAACAGTCATCTGATGCATTGGAGTACACTTTAAGGATCTTTGCCACCCACCATGATGCTTTTTCTTAAGGTTATTATATACTCGTAAATTATCCATTGAAAACATTTTAAATAATCGCGAGAGTAAGTAACACGTTTTGGACACATAATTGAATAATCGCGCCTCGTTCGAAGTTTGTCGTTTTTTTCCGCGTGGTTTTCGTTTTTATTATTCTGTGTAGTACTCCCACTTTTCAGGATATATCCCTAGTGTCACCGATTACTAATACAAATAGAAATATTTGTGTTATATCTGAACTTACCTTTATAGTCACAGGATATTATCCTTGCTACTTTTACTGTTTCAGATTACTGATTAAGGTATTACCACATCGAGCATCTGACTCTCAGTGCCCATATTACACTTGTCTTTTGTTTTGACTTAAAATCAAACAACCTAAGTCTCATATACTTGCAGTCCGACAGTTCTGTATTGAATTTATACAAAATGCCAGTTAAGCTATCGAAGCGTCGTGCTTCATTATCGGCTGAAAACTTCAGCAAAAGACATAAATCTAGCAAGCCTTAACAGCATGGCACTACACTTTCCCCTGATCTGACACAGTTGTTAAATATGTCAAATTCGGATATCATTACCTCTTCACCTTCTTGCGTTATAAATGATTTTATCAGGGATATTTACAATAGTACAGGTTGTGAGCCAAGCATTTTGGACTCTTACCAAGTCACACTGGCTGTTAATAAAAAGCCTGACACTGGCTCCTCTGATGTGGTTGAATATACACCCTCCATTTACCCTACTCAGGATTGTCAGTCAGAAGGTCCGAACACACATGTGGCCTCACTATCATCGATACATACTAATATCAAATCTTTTGACTGTGTCAAAAGAAATGTTAACTCCCCCAAATGCTTAGTAACCTTAGACGTTGACCTTGATAATCATTGCAATACACAGGCAGATTTACTGTCATCTAGTTCCATTCAATTGGATGCTTTTGAGCAGGCTACACATATGCCGGCACAGAGGGCAGAATGCAGCACCACCGCTACTGTTAACGATAAAGTCCCCCATCGCAAGAATTTCCATCGGTCATCAGTGACCCATGGACACCAACCTAATGCCAAATTTGAAAAAACAAATTGCTCATTGCCTACGCAAAACACATCCAACCAATCCAATAGCCTGGATAGCACAAACATCCTTCCGTTAGTCCATGATCTCTTACCCCTTAGGTATCTGATAAAGCCTGCTGACTATCCTGACTATGATACGCTACAGTCTTGTGAGAGAATTATAGACCATATTTCCACGGAAGTGATCAAGCGGGTTAAGTGCATGTATAATGCAATTGTTTTCAATGTGCCCGACAGTACGAACATTAAAACACTGAAAAACGCACTTTTAAAGGCATGCGAAATACCAGATTCCCATTGTACCTGCAAACGACTGCGTAAATCTTCAGCTAATACATCTTGTCCAATAATGTTCGAGTTTAATAGCATTGTGGATGCTAGTCGCTTCGTAAATAACCAGCATCTCTTTAGGAAAGCAAGTAGCTTTAAAAATGTACGTATTATTCACGACAGGACACCAATCCAGCGTCGTGCCAAACAAAGTATCCCAGCAGATGAAATAAATCACCAAAAGGATACAACCGGCCCCACTGATGTCAATACAAAACACCACCTAAACCTTAAAAGAAGCCCTCCACCTAGTGACCCTAAAATGAAGCTTGATATGGTTACCAATACTAAATCTAGTATTTCTCCAGTTGTTAAACAACCTAAAAAGCACTCAATTGCTGCAAAAGATATCAATAAAAATCTCACTCGCCATGCTAGAACTATCGAAAACCCTTGTAATATCTTCACATCTGGCTCTAAGATTCTGAGTAAAAATGTAAGGAACAAAATTCCTATGCCTGGCATACACTCCATCAAGCCTGATTCAGCGTCTCCTATTACTCATACGCTTAAATCTCCCAAAAGGACGTCTATGGTATCAAATAGAACTGACACTAGTC